ATATATATATATATATATCATCTTTTGTATAGTAATAGATTATTGGTTGTCACCAAATCCAATTAATGGTATTCATATCGTTGTTATCACTGAATCCAGTCAAACTCTAATACTACTATTAAAGTTATTTTGTCGACTTGTTTGATAGAAATATATATTTGATAAAAGGTGGGTTATATAAGGATATTTGTACACACAACTCCACAATAATTAGATATTATCCACTTTGAACATAAATTTTTATGATTTTGTTTTTAGTCATCATCCAAAAAGCTTTTAACCAATGAAATATGTATGTTTTATAAACTCTTATTTTTCCTTTTATGTAACGATGTGAAACTTTATTTGTATCCCAAAAATACACTTACCAAAACTCTTAATAAGTTTGATCTTATTCAATTTTACAAAACCCAATTGTAATGTGAATATTATCCCCTGCTTATAAATTTTTTATTAATCTTAACTCTAAATAATGTGAATGAAACTTTAATTTTTTATAATATACTCCTCAAGTCCGACATAGGTGAGACTTAGGTTTTCTCGATATTATCTTAAATTTGAGTTTAAACCTTCTTACAAAAAATAACTTGTATTGTTCCTCATTTATATATTATTTATTAGTCTTATCTATGATTAATGTAAGACTTACTTTAAACTCCCTCACCCACTTATATTCTCTTTCTTAATCTTATCCCTAAGTTGATACAAGACTCAAATTACACTCTACCATTCAACATTATTGGATTTTGTGTAGATAAATAATAGATAACAATTTTTTAATGATCTAAAATAGACAGTACTATTGGACTTTAGTAGATGACAGAAAATAAGAATTATCTTTCACTTATACCTTATTTTTAATTATTTTTAGTTGATGTGAAACTTAAATTTTTTTTAATTAAAATTTGTGCCCTTGTGGCTCAATATTCAACATTAATAAATTGAACATTTTTTAGCCTTGATAGGGGAAAAATTGGTTGCCACTTATCGTGACAAGTTGGAATCTCACAATATAAATATTGTTACATATGCCATTCTACTGGTATCACGTAATAATTTTGCTTTACAAGTTACTTACAAAATTCCGAGGGTTCAAAGATCTGTCACTCCTTTCCATCTTAGCCCCAAAAAAATGAATTAATGATGTCGTCTCGCTATAACATTCTATCTTATCCTATTTGCTCCAAATAAATATATACAAAGAATAATAAGGGTTATATACACAAAAATGCAATTATGCCTTTTGTTGGCCTCCTCTGTCCTGCAATGAGTGGTAATTAGCACGGATGAACACTGGTCCAAGTTACATCGTCCCCTCCCAGAACAGAAGCCATTGATAATTTCTTGAACTCAATGTAACAGTTAGCATCCTGGGAAAAAATCAAGAACAAAAATTATTAATGCATGTATTACCATGGCTCAAGATAATTGAATTACAATGGAAATTTAGAATTGTAACTCGTGCTGTGTCTATCAATGCTCCAAATTTTCTACTTGTTATGATAAATATATATATATATATACATGAAATGCACTTATAATATAAAAATCCTGCTATGATGAACATGTTACCTACGATACTGAGATCCATGATGCTGAATTGATAGCTTTGGTGCTGACATACAGTCTGGATTAGAAACATATCAGCTGAGGCATGTCCAACCATTACAATATTTGGACATCATTTAGCCAAAGTTAATCCATCCGCTAGCTCTTTTAATGGAAAACCAACACATGGAATACATGGTTGATTGATTTCATACTACACACCACACTTGAAGTCAGTCAACACTTGTCAGCAGGGTGCCTGACACTAATAATCAAAGATTTTAAACATCGTACTTTCACACTATGAATCTGAATTGAATACACGTTCCATTGCCATATAGAGTTGCTCTTCATCAAACGGCTTAGACACGTAGTCATCCATTCCACACTTTCTGCACTCCTCATTTGAACCCTGAGTTGCATCTGCTGTCATTGCTAGTACTGGAATGTGCCAATAGGAGATATTACCAAACATCTCAGCAGATGCTTGTCCACACGCAATTTTCTCATTTGCCTCGCTCTCCAGGTTGCGGATTTGCCTTGTCGCTTCAAAACTGTACCATTCAATATAAAGAGAAATACTTGTAAACTAAATCTCAACCATGGATCCAGATGTGTGAGATCCTATCTAGAAAAGCATTCAGAATCTGAGATTTTTAACATAAGTTAACTAGTTATCTATCGAATCCAACGATAACATAACCAACAAAAGAATAGCTATATTCTAGGTAGTATGTTCTTGGGCAAAAGAAAACAAGGGTAGGGGTCTAACATTTGGCACCAGTTCTTTTAACTATTATCTACTGTTTTACATGTGTATTCTCTAGTACAAAATAAACTTACAAGACCAGTCATTGCTCCTTGGTTTTATTCTTATAGGCAACAACAGCATCTCCATTTGCATTAAAATTTAGAAAACTAAAAAGAACTAAAAATAATAGAAATAAGAAGATAAATTTACCCATCCATTTCTGGCATTTGGAGATCCATGAAACAAGCATCAAAATTATGTGGCGGTTTAAGAAACTTTAGAGCAGCCTTGCCACTCTCCACAGTGGTAACTATTGTCCCATATCTCTGTAGAACACCTTCTGCAACTTTTCTGTTCACTGCATTATCATCAACCAACAAAATTTGTTTGTGCATCAATAAATTCCCGAGTTTCATTACATTTTTCCTATTTACTTGCTTTTTCACAATGCCAAGGGATTCTCTGTAAGAGCGAATTAAAGAACTAAGCCAAAGAGGCTTCATTAGTATATCATCTATGATACCAAATGAGTTGAGTTCATCATGTTCATTGGCACTAAGATGGGTGGCCAGGAGAAAAATCTTCGGTAAGTTTATTGGATCTCCTTTGATGCCATTCTTTCTATGTTTCTTGATTGCGTACAAGAAACTACCTTCTTTATCCCAACTCCAAGCATCCTTGTCTATAAGAATCATAGCCAACTGGGTCGGTATACTGAAGGAAAAAAACAGAAGTAATTTAGTATATAATAACCTATTGTCTAGCACAAGTTTTTTACAAAAAAACAACTAATATGTACTAGAATTGAAAAACCCTTTATGTTTACAACATGAATATTTGCACCTTAAAGGTACTACTTTTGAACTCAAGCAACTACCAATTTTGAGGAAATGAATATTATCTTAATAATGTTAGTACCAATCCAGGAACCGAATTTCCCCAGAAAACCAAGCAGTTTAAACCTTTACAAAGATCATGCAAAAAAATATATTACTGTGAATGTCACCTTTTTTTCTTTTCGTTTCTACATTTCCCATAAAGCAGAGGTACTGTAGATTTATATTCTGAAATCATTTTACATATTAAATGACTAGTACTCATGAAATATTCTGAAGCCTTACAAGTTAACTTTATTTCAGAGCAATATTTACTTCCAATTTTTTCGGGTAGTACTCTAATGCCATTGAAGAATGTCAGAACTTAAATACCTAAGTTCTTATGGTTTATTAAGCACAACTGCAACTGATTTGGATTTTTTATTTCAGCTGCTAAAATGACTAATTACCTCATGTTGCAAGTATTAGATAGACAAGAGCATGCAGAATTCAGACTGTAAGTTACATCCACGGACATTCCCAATCTCTGCAGATGATATCTTGTGACTTCAGCTCGGATTTTTCTTCTATCTACAACTAGTGCCCTCAATCCTAGAAACTCTGAACCAGAAAGATTATTCTGCCACATTGCATCCAGAGATGTTCTTCCTCCTTTTCTGAAAGTTCCAGTAAAGGAAAAAGTACTTCCAATTCCAGGCTCACTTACAAATCCAATTTCTCCTCCCATGAGGTCAACTAGACATTTACTAACGCTCAATCCTATTCCAGTTCCACCATATGTTCGGGAGGTGGAACTATCAGCCTGCATAAAAGGTGCGAATATACAGCTTTGTGCATCTGTAGGAATTCCTATACCTGTGTCCTCAACAATCACCAGTAGTTGAATAATTTCAGGTTCGTTTGTGCTACTTAACTTCTTAAAATGTGCCCAACTTTTCCATTTGTTGCATACAGGGAACCCACTTAATGTATCAGATGTTCTGTTTGATATGTCCTGATTCAAATTTAAGCCTTCTCTCAGCACTGCATTCATAATATGAAGTGGGTTCTTCACTTCATTCGCCAGATGAACCGAGACAAACACATGTCCTTTATCATGAGTAAACTGAAATGCACCAAGTAAACAAATTAATAGCAACAAGTGGTAACATTCCTTCTCTTTTGTACGGAAGATAAGATGATTCACTAATTTAATATGAAAATTCTGAAAGATTACTTCAAAGTCTAAATAGGGAATCTTAAAATGAGCATAAGGGACCAAATTTAGTGATTTTATATTTTAGAAAGATGAATATCAAAGAAAAATATTGTACAATAACCAAAACCAAAATTTGTTTACTCTCTTTGTTCCATAATAAGGGTCATGTAAAGAAGAAGAAAAAAAAAGTTGTGTTGCATCATTACTAACAGAAGATTAATAATAACGTTAATTTTATAAAAATATTATTCTCTTTCACCTATTTATTAGTTTTTTTTGTCTGTGTAAAATAACCTTAGATGACATTTATTTTAGGACATAAGAAGTATTTTACATGGACCAAAAAATATGATTTCAAATTTTAGAAGAATGGAAAACAATCATAGGGACCAAAATCAAAATCCATTCATATTAAAGGGACTAAAAACATATTTAAGCCATAAAAATATATCACAGGGGTTATGGATGAATTTACTTAATTAACTCTGCTTTCATGTTTCAAGATCATTCTGAAAAGTGACACTTTCAAAAGAACAAGGTATCAAAAACTGAATGGAATTATTGATAAGGTGGGTAACAATGCCTAGTATCCTTCAAAGGGAGAATATGCTGGGGTCAAACACAAAAAAGTACAGCATGAAATATAGCAAACCTTAAGTGAATTTCCAACAAGATTAGTAATTATTTGTCGAAACCGTTTAGGATCACCAATAACTACTTCGGGTACTTGATTAGATGCATAAACAGCCAGCTGTAATCAAGAAAAAGTATAGAGAACACAAGTTCATGTAAGACTTAATGTAAAAATTATAGGAGGTACAAAACTAAGGTAGATGAAAGATAGGATCTCACCTCTATTTCTTTTTCCTTAGATTTTTCAGAGAAACGTGATAAAACTTCGTCTAGAATAGCACGTGGATCAAATGTGACAGCTTCAAGTTCAAGCTTTCCTGCCTCAATCTTAGCCTGATCAAGAACCTCATTTATGACTGATATAAGATCTTTACCACTATTATGGGCAGTTTGGGCACAATCCATCTGGTTCTCATCGAGCTCAGTGTGCATCAACATTTGCAACATACCTGGAAAATGATTTGAAACAGCTGATTATAACCAAGTATCAACAGGTTGGGATTATCTATGAAAACATCAAATACTTTAAATTACCTAAAACACCATTCATTGGAGTTCTGATCTCATGTGAAACTGTCGCAAGAAACTACAAAAAAGGGAAAGCATATATTGGAGGTCAAGGCTGAAATATTAGTTTTAATTACGTAAAAGGTTTTATATACTATCAGAAATAATTATGAAGTTGAATGATGATCATCAAGTGATGCAATAAACATATGCAATGTATATGAGAATTACAATATTCTTGCAATCACATTAACAATTGTGTGGCATAACAGAAAGCATAACTCCCATAAATATATCACCTGAGATTTTGCCACATCTGCAGCTTCAGCACGACCTTTCAGCTCACTCATTTGACGATAATCATCCTCAACTTTTGCTATTCTATTTATCGCTGCATAAAAAATATGACCCAAAAGCAAAGTAATAACAAGCACCCCCACTGATGCATTGATTGCTGTCCAAGGTAATGGAGGCCTCTGCTTGAACCTGCAAAAGGAAAGGAAATGCATTGATATGAGATTTCATTTTTGGACATAATACAGAATTTTTTTAGTGTGAAAGCAAACCTGCAGTGCATCTCATGTTTTCTTAGCGGATCCCCAAAATCCAGGCTGCTTATGTGTAATAGGCCAGTGTCAGTAACATCAGTACCATACATTGTGATAGGTGCAGATGCATTAGTTGTGTCATAAACATTGACAACAATGGTTTGCTTGCTGGCAAGTTGGTGCAGAAGCTTGTCCACCAGTGATGGAACATCATAAGATGCACCCAGATACCTGTCAATAAACAGGTATCAATACATAAATCAACACTATAATTGTTTTCTTCTTGGGGGAAGGTGGATCACAGCACAAATGAAATGCATATTTTAACCAGTGACCAGTTAGTTGCAGGATTACCCCACAGTAGCTTCAATACGCTGCTCTGGTGTAGCATCTAAAGGAAGATTAGTGTCATAGACAGCAAATGTAAGTACAACACCCAGGTGATTGGACTTTAGTAGTTTAAAAGGGGATGTCAGAACCCCCTTTCCAGATGCCCTTGCTCGCAAAATATTCTCACGATCCTCCTGTATAAGTATAACAATGCAACAAATATTTTCTTTTAGACAGACAGATTAATGAGAAATTTAACCAACAATTCTATAGATAATAACTTCTAGTCATATTTCTTAATCTACCACTGAGATGACTGTAAATGACATGAAAAGCAGGTGACACCAGTCCTCAGTGTCATCTTACTGGTGTTGATAAGTAAAACTCCTATAAGTAGTTGACTTTACCCCACATTTAACTTTCACTGTTCAAAGTAAATTATATAAGATAATAAATAGAGACTGTTAAGTGATCTTCAGTTTTATTATTCCACTCCGTGTATTCAACAGCTTAAAGCATCTAATGCCTACCACCTTGGATAAAGAAAATACAAAGACAAAAAAAAAATGTCTTCCTAACTGATGACTTCACACTCTAGTTTTCTCATACTTGTGTCAGAATACATAGGGCAAGAACATTGAAAGTAATGAAAAATTTGTAGTTAAATCCATTGCCCCACAACTTTCTTAGAAAAAGAGAAGAAAAATCATGTTAGGGTGACAGCAAGCTAAGCAAGGCACACCTTCCCTGACATCATGTCAATAGATACAATATGGGAAACTGTTTCTTGAGCAAATATCACTGGGGCATATTCATCTTGAATGGGTGCTGGATCCAAATTTTCTGGAATACAATCTTGTACTAATGCCTCATTCTCAGTTTCCATTTTCTTAATTGTCCACCCATGCTGCTCCTCAAAATGCATCCTATCAGAGTGGAGAACTTTCAAAGCATAAGCTACACCACTAGTAAGTGGTCTTTCAAATGCTGTACTCTCTGTATATTCTCCAAAAATTTTCTGCAGTGAAACACAAGCTTCAATGTTATTCTTCCTTACTTTTTCTCTCTTGTTTTAAACTGGTTTCCCTAAATATGAATAATATTGCAAAAACAACATAAATAAAAGATAGTTAAAGACAACTCAAAATGTGGTTTGAACTTGGTGACCAACACCATGCAATTTTCATATGTATCCAAACTAATCTAATAAAACCAAATTTACCATGTAAAACATATCAAAATTACAAGTGAAAAGGGGAACCCGACTTAAACCTTGTACATTTATTATAAAATTAGCATATATATAAAGAAAAGCAGCTATAAAGTTGTTTAGATGTCCCACATTAGCTAAGAATATGGCCAAAATACTCTTTTAAGGCTTGGGAAATCCCCAAATCCCCCTCTTTGAAGTAACTTTTAGGGTTGAGTTAGGCCCAACACGTTTTGAATATGATACCAAATCCTATCCAATCTTGATGTCAAGTCACATGTAAATGTTCAACCCTACAAACTTCACACTCTAGATAGTCTTGGACATGAGGGGATGTGTGTTAACTGTTAAGATGGCCCACATTGGCTAAGAATATGGCCAAAATATTCCTTATAAGACTTGAGCACTTCTCTCCCTCTCCCTTTAGCTAGCAGATTGAATTATGTTTAATTCATTTCTGATTAAAGTTTATAACAATGACAATGAATAATGCTGTAAAACATGTTAGTATAGCTGGTAAAAGGCCTAATAAACTTTTCATCTTTAATTTGTTTATGCTAGTTGTGGAGAAAAAATTATTCAAAGCAAGAGCTTGTCATCTTTATTTATACTTCCCAATAGCTCAACTTTTCAACACATTACGTATCAATCGCACAACCTGAACTATTTCATTTTATTTAATTTCAATATCATCATATATTTCAGCATCCCCACTTTTTTTTTCCCATTGCTTTTGTTTATTTTAATTTATTATATATGTATGCAGTTGTAACTAGGTAAAAGAGAGCAACCATGCCTCTTCCCCAGTTTTAAAAATGATTTGAAATCAGATTTTGCATTTCTTTAATCCTTTGCACACAAGAAATCTTATATTTTCTCCTTTAGTACTATGCTCCACACAAATATGTCAGATTCACGTAAGATACACCAAGCAAAAGCTAATGTCTAGAAGACATGCAAAATATCCCAGTCATTTGCCATGAATACGCATAGGATGGAGTAGCAAAATACCAATAAGAGAACTGAAGGAAATTGAGTACACTACCTGGTCAATTGCAGAAGGATGTTTACCGTGGTGAAAGGTAGATACAAGGATAGCCAGAGCATGAACATGGTTCATGCTTACATTAAACTGATCTTGCAGCATACGGGCTCGCTCATCACACATATTGGCTAGCATTTCTTCTCTTCTCTGCATAATGTCCATATTTAGGTGCCAAAATAACCAGAAGGACCCAATTATTCCAAGTGACACAAATATAACTAGTAACTTTTTCCTCCACCTCCCGGCACTCTTTGAAGGACCCCGTGCTAAACCTTGCATCTGCTTTTTCTGAGCAGCTGGATGCCCCTGAACTAGCTTCTGCTTTTGACTCCTCCATAGCAAACAGAAGCAGGACATTATAATTCCTATGAGAACCCAGCATCCTCTAACAAAATTAGATGAACTCAGATGATCCCAAATTGCAGAGGCCCTCAGTTCCCATGATTGCACAATGTTCTGCAAAGCCAAAATGAATAAGAAAATTAATTATATAGTGGATGTATATGTTTCAAATAAGCACGCAAGGACCACACATTTTCACAATTATTGCACAAGCATAGAAGCAGAGTCTGGTATAAATCACAAGTAACATTGAAAGGCAGTATTTGGAACAACTAAACAAAAATCTACTACTTTTCCATTGATATGACTTTATAGAATAATTTTGTAAGGCTGTAGGTTAAATGAACTAAAATGCTAGACTATCATTGGTGATGTGATGCCCTGTCTTTTACACATCAAGACAAGAAATTATTATAGCACTAGCCAAGCTAAAAAGTATGCTATGATGCCGGTAAGGCAACTCAAGGGAATTTTTTGACTATGTACAAGTGCATACAAGATGGTACCACTGTAGATCCATACGATACATTATTAATTATTAATTATTAATAGTTACATTTCTCACCCAGCTTCCACAAACTTAAGACTCTTTCAGAAAATGATATGTAGGAATCCTAAAGCTCATCACTATGCTCTTTTATCTCCACTCAACTACCATATCATGCCCCCCTAGGATAGGTTGAGCAGTGAGAAAAGAGAATTGTAAGCTAGGCTATAATTCTTAGGTACTAAGTATTCTTTAGGAGAATCAACAATTTAAATTATGGAACTTTTGGGCATATCACATACATGCCTTGGCTTTAGTAAGGATTCTACCTTTCCACGGAGCAAATAACTAACCAAATCAGTTGAAAGTGCGGAGTGCGAGGCCAATGATACATGATTTTTCGATGGGAATGATAATTCAAGCCTTGTCTGGTCATAATCATCAAGAATTGGACATTGTTCTATAGTTTCTACAGTCTCTGCAACACATATATACTCCTTTTGTGACTCCTGATTCCCCGGACACGTTAACTGTGGAGTGCTGATCATGCCGCTGCTTAACAGCATTTTAAGTCTTCTTTCATCAATACAGTTGGATAAAATCTGCATTATAGACTTGTAACTAGTAAGACAGAGGACAAAGAGCACCACTTTGTTTACTGCTCATATTCATCTCCGCAACAACTACTGTTTCCTTTTAAAAATCTAGCAAGAGACGTTCCACCACTTTAAAATAAGTAAACGGTTGTACAACATAAAGTGATCCTAGAAAAACCTTGTGGAAAAAGCATCAGAAGAGCATAGTTTATACCCATTCGTTTAAAACAATCTCTTGGTTCTCGTTGTTTTACATCTTCTACTTCAGCTCAAACATAACCCAACAAAAGTTTTTTTTTTAATGAAAATAACGCTCAACAGAAAGAACAGTTAGTGCATAGAAGTAGCCAAATAATTAAAGTTTCTAAGCAAAAGTAAATAATTATCCCCAACGACCTCAATTTGAAGCAATAAATTGAAAGAGTGGGGGAAAGTGTAGTTCACCTGATCTGATCCATAGAACAAGGAAGCCAAAGCATGAATCTCTTTCCTACTAACATTGTAACGTTGTAGCAACACTCGTGCTCTCTCTTCACATATTGCTTCATTCTCCTTGCTCACCAAATACTTACTATTGAAACTCAAGATGAACCAAACAGTCCCTACAGCCACAAAGCCAAAAAACCAAAGAAGCAAGAGCTTCCTCCTACATGTCTTGAGATAATTAGTCCCATGCAGAGGCTCATTCACCTTCCAAGACTTCATATTCGGTGGCAATCTACCATTTGAAGCAGAAAGCCTTCGATTCACAGACATCCTTGCCAAATTCACCAAAGTAACAATCCTGAAGATTCTAGGCAAGTCCCAGCTTGAGCAGAACATTCAAAAAACTTAACCACCAAGCACCCCACCATGAATCTTCAACTGCAAAGCAAAATTGAAGCAAACCCCAAAATTTCTCTTAGCAATCCACCCCTCTGGGCGCAGAAAGTTTGGTGCTTTATGCTATTTCCACCAGGCAAAAGAGAAAAGTTGCACAAAACCCAGCTGGTATATCTCAAAGAAGGAGCTTCAAAATGAGTGGTCCAGCCCAAAAGTTTGTTTTTTTGTGGATATCCGTGAAGGTTGAAGCTGAAGAGATAACAAGAGGAAGAGGAGCATGGGGTAATAATCACTCCAAATCAAACCCACTGATAGAATTGTGAATGAGATGGGAAAATTTGTTCTTTTTCTATAACAGGATGTTTCTGCCTCACTGACCTCTGAACACCCAAAAGAAGCATCAAGAGTGGAACAAACAATATTACACAGTGACCATCATCTTCTTGCAAATTTGCTGATATAACCCATTTTGTTTTTCTGAAAGAAATTGTTAGTGTCCCCCCTTTCTCTCTCTCTTTTTCTCTGTCAATCTCTCTCTCCAGTTTGGTGTGCAAGCATTAGCTAATTGAGGATGGATCATGATTATCTCATCATCTGGTGGGGAAGTTTTAACCAAAAGCAAACAAAAATCCATGATTAAAAATAAATTTTAAAAGAGAAAAATGAGATTTTTTTAAGACCAATTATTACTGTTTATTTATTTATTTATTGGCAATAGCATAATTGAATTTTTGGGTTTTCATTTTTTTAATTTAATTACTTCGATCTGGTGTTTTGCTTTTGCAAGAGTTGAAAAAGACCGCACCCTTCAGTGTTTAAAGAGGGAGTACTCCAACTGTGCACTGCAGAATACGGATTCAAGTGCCAGAAAAGATAAAGAGAGTCAGAAAAAAGATGTGAGGAGAAATGGTTCTGGTGAAACGGTGAGAGAGAGAGAGAGGGAATAAAAATTTGAAAGATAAGGGGGGAGAGAGAGAGAGAGAGAAAATGAAAAAAAAGGGTAAAATTGGCAATGCATGTAGCACATTGTCCAGTTCTGAGTTCCATCATAAGTGGAAAGTAACACTGTAATATTATGTTGAAAATGTACTGGAAGAAGAATGGGCAATTATTCAGAGGGGTAAAGGCTAATGTGCGCATGGTGCCAAAAGATTCTGGAATCAATGGTTTTGAGAAAATTATATAGGTTTGATGAGAGGTATATAGGTGTAATGGGGGCATCAAATAAAATGAATGTCGGCTATACACCTTACCCACCAATATATAATAATCAAAGTGAGAATCAACCTAGCAATAGTACTAAACAAAGTGCCAATTTCATTAAAAACTACTATCAAAAGCATAATTGGTTTGACCATCATTGCATGGCTATTATTATATTAGGTTAATTTTTTTATCATTTATCATGCATTTGATATGTTAATCTTAATTAGGTGGTGATCAACGGCACAAAAACCCTTATATGTAGTTTAGATCTGTGAATTTCTTGCCTCGAGGGTTAATCATCATTGTGGGATGTGGAAGTAGGGTTATGCCTATTAATTAATGATGATTTATGATTAGTGAGATATTTTTTCAGAAAAAATTAAGTTTTAAAGTGGAGACCCACTTTTATGATTTTAGCTATGGCGGTGAGATTTGTCATTTCTAGAGAAAATAGTAACTAGCAACACTGTTTTATACATACAACTAGATTATAGTTGTTATTGTCATTCCACTTTTTCCTGCGATCCAGAACATTTCCAGTGGTTAACCAATATTACAAACTTTACGTTAATTAATGATGCTGAGGAGAACTTGTTATGCACTACTGTTATGTTGTATACAATGTAGAAGTTATCAGTGAGGAGAATAAGTTTTCATAAAGTTCAATAAAAGAGGAGTGAAAAATATGGTCTGTTTCAACACAAGTTTTTTACATTTTTCACGCCAAATTATGAGAAATAAAGGAAAGTCTTTAAGAGTGATTTACATGGTGAGAAATTATTGCTTCACATCAATAAATAATTTCCAAACACACTCTATACGTACCTAAATTTCTGAACAATGACGGATCTGGCACTATGAATCAGTAAGGACAATTATTTAAAAATAAAATATTATATATATATATATATATATATATATATATATAATACAAAATATTCATTAAGAGTGAAAAGTGAACTAAAAAAATAAAAATATAAGAAATAAACTAAATAATAAAAGACAAAAATTAGCCACAATTAAAGATTAGAGACAGTGAATTCAAGATTAGATTTAACGCGGTTGCATATATAAAGCAGGATTCGAACCCCTGACCTTGTTTAAGCGTGGATCAACCCTTACCGCTGAACCACACGCTTAGAGTTCAGTGAATTCAAGATATAAATTTAGAGAAAGCAAAAATAATTATTTAATACACATAGATATATTATTTAACTACGATTTGCCGTTATTCATGAAATGAAAATATTCATTTTATTTATAACTTCAATTGGTAAGTTAAAATTATTAAGATCCACATAGTACTTTAAAGGAATTAAAATAAATACATGAAAATAAAACCTAAATTTAATATCATTATTGTTAGTGTAATATGTTTTTAAAGGGAAAAAAATTGGTTGATCTGTTTATATTGCGTAAAATATATGCATATTTTGTGCATTCATATAAATTGGATTGAATTAATAAAATAAATCGTTGTTATTTCTTATAATTTACATTTGAAATTTAATAAAATATTTAATTATAGTTCACTATAGACAAATTTGATTTTTATTTAACAATGGAGCAGTTTCTTAAGAAAATAAATTAAGAGTTTAAGAATTAATTTTACAAAATCAGAATGTAAAGGTGTGAATAAATTGATTTTTAAGATTAAGTTAAACTCATAATCACCTTTTTAATATGGTATCAAAGTTTATCTTAAAGACTATTAATGGACTTATCATGTCACTCCTTATAGAATTGTTATTAAACTACCTGCAAATATTTAATCTTACAAATTTTATGTTTAAGATATTAGTCCTTGACGTAAAGATAGTATATTAGAGATCTCACCAAATAAAACGTAATAGTATATACAAGTAAAAAATAATCATCATCTTACAAATTATATTTGTAAGGTTGAATTAGTGAAGATTGAGATAATGTAAAAAAGATTTAAAAACATGTTTGAATGAATTTCTTTAAATACACACTTGTATTAAAGAAGAATGTAAGAAGAAAAAAAATTATAAACTAAATGTATAAGTTAATTTATAGATCTCTCATATTAACTTATGAAAAAAAATATTTTTAAATTATACATATGTTAATTTTGATTTTAAAAAAAATATTTGTTTTTTGTTTTTGTCTTAAAATATTTTCTTTACGTTCAATTTTCATAATCAGTTATTACATTTCTTATCGCTAAAAAGATAATGTATTCATACTTTCTAGTTAAGTTAATTAAACTGATCTGTAATCTATCTTTTCCCACAACGTGGGGGCCGTTCCTAAATATTTTTTTTTTTAGGTGACCTAAATATTGTATAATTGAAATTTGGGAATTGTTTGTTAATATATTTTATTTTTTATTTTCAATTATAAATCTCATATTACTTTTCCTTTATTTTTTATTCTCAAAATCAAAACAGCTTCTTAAATATTCACTTTTCCACAAATGTAATTTTCTTGTAAATTTTAGCAATTAACTTATTCATACTGAAACATAAAAGTTAAAACACCATTTTTTTAACTCTGATAAACTATAGAAGAAGAAAAAATCCGTATTATAAATGAAGGTCAGTTTCTTTGGGGTGATATAACAATATATTGGAATATGATGATGTAAGCTGAAGTAGATGTGCTTCCTATTCCTATTGGCACCATTGTTTTTTTTTTTTTTTAAGGGGAGTCTCCATCATTGGCAATTTGGCTTCACACCATTACTTTTTTTCTTCTTCTTTTTATTTTTTGGTTGTTCATAGTTGGCAATTTGGCACCATTACCATCAAGTACGTTTATCAAGTAAAATCATTAAATATTTTTCAACCTTATTGTATAAACAATCTTCCGCCGAAAATAAGTTGACATATAGCTAGAGGTAAGGTAAGTAGCTGCATATTTTACAACAAATAAAATATGTGAAAGCTACAGTTTTAGGAACCGTTTAGCTTATAATTTGAAAAAAAATAACTGTTAAATCATTAATTATTATTAAGGCGTGTTAGTAAATTGTTGGTCCAAATAAAATTCAACTTAGTCTAAGTAGGATCTTGAATCCATATAATTAAAAAAAATGCTATTCAAGGGAAAAACTTTAATATAGTTAACTAAATTCTTAAGCATTTAAGACTGATTATCAGTAAAATTGATAAATATTTTATACTAAGAATATAATTAAAGAATTATGATTAAGGTTAAAAATGTGTTGTATAAAAGAAAAATAATTTTGTAAGGTTGGGAAACAGGTTGAGGGTCAAAAAGAAAGCGACCAACCAGAAAAGAATTAATCGAATGATGAAATGAAAGCAAGTCTTACTCACATTACATGGTTTAAACTTGTAGGGTCATGCTTCATTGTAATCCACTTGGGCATAATGGCATTGGAAGCTTTCTTACTTTCCCTTTCCAACTTTTTCTTTTCACTTCTTGCATTGCCATGGAAACTACCACACTATTTATTTAATTTATTCATCTTTTTGGAGCTAAGTACTATGTTCATGTGGGAAGTGCAATACTGTATGGGGCACATCAAGTAACTATGTGTAGCTTCAATAATTACAAAATCCAGTTGGGCATAGACCCACCACAATGCCTATTATTCTCCCTAGGAAGATTTCTCTTCAAGAATATGCATTCTATTCCTAATTACTAATTATTTCACCAACACCTTTTCTTCATAAACTTATTCATTTAACCCATTAAAGACATAGAATATTACTATTTATGCAAACATGTTCTTCATTTAGTGTTTTTTAAATTACTGAATATCATATCAACAAGATGGAAACTATTCTCAAATGCCTTTAATTTAATACAATTTCCTTGCATGGTTGTGCAATAATTGTTTTTTTATTAGAGTTAGACACAGATTAATTTAGGTTTGCCCGCCATTTTCGTGGTTTTCAATGCTGAGGATGGTTTGTTTGGCTATGGATTACCAACACAAGAAGAACCAAACAAGTATTTTACCTCCAAATTTTTGTACACTTATGTTCGTATTAATAAGAGAATTATATATTGCGGAATTTAGTATAGTACGGCTCTTACACAATAATCCACGGTTCAATTAATGTTCCCTCTTCGATGTAATTCAATAATTTTGAGAAATAGTTCAGTCTGAAATTATTTAAAGACACATATTTCATAATCAACTCGCCAAGGCTGAATAATTAAAGAAACTTGTGGACAAAGGTAGAAAATTGTATATAAAAACCGTTTAATCATAGAGTTAAGAGAGTAAGTTTCAAGGTTTGATGACTGCGGTCTCTAGCTTTTAGTGGGGGAAGCAAATATTTTTTGTGACTAATGACTAATTTTCATATTTGAAAAATTATTTAGAAGTGGCTTTTCAATAGGACAGATTCAATATGAGTAGTGATTTATGATCACTTTTTTATTGAATTGAATG